TCACTTGCATTATATAGTTGCATTATTTAAAGGAATTCCAAGACTTCTTTTATCATTAACCAAGCTCTAAAATTTTATGACATGATGTGCATTTTCATTCTTATTTTTTATTTACTAAATTCAAAATTTTTGATCATAAGAGCTTCAAGGACTTCTTCACCATATTGAAACCTAAATTAAGCAATAGGATCTTTACTCAATGTGGTTAAACCTACAAAAAGAGACCAAAGCTTTGATACCAATTGTTAGCTTTTTAGGTGAGATGGTGATCCAAGAAGGGGTAAATTGGATCTCTCCAAATTCTTTTCCAATAATAGATTTTAACATAATTGAATGAAAATTAAAATCGATATCAAAATATGATACAAATAACAATAAATTGATGAACTGAAAGCAAATATAAACTATAATTAAAATCAAGAGATAAGGATAGAGAAATCAAATATAAGGATTTATAGAAGTTCGGTTCTTCTCCACATGGCACATACATCCTCTCTCTTAGTTGTCCACACAAGGCTTCAATCCACTAATCTTGAATTGAGAATACAACCCTAACTTTTTCTTTTTAAAGATTAAAATAAAAACCTCTACCTTTACACAATCAAGAGGATACCTCACATCTTACTTATAAGATAACCCAAATGAATTTTGTAAACTAAAATATCTCTCAAGGTTGTGTGTTTGCCCAATAAAGTATAAAGAAAATAGTGAATGAAAGACAACAATATTTTGGATACAAGATATAAAAAGGATATTGAATTTAAACTCTAAGACTATTGATTTTTTTTAGAGAATGAAAATATGACTTGTTTGATTTTATTCTTTTAATTCATCAACCTCCTTGGTGTGTTAGAATGACCAATTTATAGAGGAATAGGGGAAATAGCCGTTGGGAATGCTTGGGAAATGAAAAACCATGTTTTCTTCCTTTGAAACTAGCTATTGAAGCTTGTTTGGGATGAAGAGATTGATTAGTTCTTGAATTTCGCTCAATTTTTGACCATTACAGCAGAGAGGATTGATTGGTTTTGATACCCAATCGATTAGGTTAGCTAGGTTTTGTATTCCCAGTGACTCTGGACGAACAGTGCCTTGGTAGTCTCCCATTTTGTACTTTACTCACTAATTTGATCATATCTTAAGTTATACAACTCTAAATCAAGAACTGTTTAAAGATTTAGAAACTAGACTTAAAAGAATTTCTATCAATATAAAATTCATCACCTAATTCACTGTATTAGAATTATAGTGAATTTTCAAATCTACCATTTTGTGCAGTTTTTAAATAACTGCATAGTATTTAGTAAAAATTCAAAATATTTTCTTAAAAAATTTGGATTTTGATTTTGTTTAATCCATTAGAAAGTAGAATCAAAGGGCTTTCCAACCATACAAAATTCTAATATTAAAACATTGTGAATTAATACAATAAAATAAAATAAATTCAATGTTGGAAAATTTTATTTTTATAAAACAACTTTCTTAAGTTAAGCTATTTCTCAAAACCAATATTATCAAAATTGTATTGAGTCCAAAATGAATAAGTTCACTTTAAAAACAACAATTAGACTTCTATTTAAACTTAAATAAATAATGTTTAAAGATACATTTGATTTGAGAAATAAGAAAAAAAAAAGAAAGATTTGTTTAAACTTTGAAAATCATATTATTTATTTAATATCAAAATAATAAAACTTAAGAACTTGTAATAAATAAATTTTTTTCAAAATCTTAATCAATCTTATTTAGCTTAATATTTTATCATTTCAAAATAGAAATCAATTCAAGGCTAATAGATAGGTTGATGGCAACTGAATTTAGCTATAGATGGTGGCGCTAGGGTGGCTTGCAGGGTAAAGTTGGCAGAGTAGAGGAAGGCTCAGCAGGGCTAGAGCTCTAGGGTGGCCAGGCCTTGGTGGTGTGCACGGCACCCAATTTTATAGATTTTTTTAAAAAAAATTTCCTTATTTTTTCAGTATTTTTTATTATTTGTTTAGTTATTAAAATTTAACTAATTATAAAGAAAAAACATTGCGCCTTAAATATGAAAATTGGACCTTGGGTTTTGGGCTAAAGATGTTGAATTTGGGCCGATGGTAATTGAAATTGATTTTAGGCTTTTAAGCCTAATTGTCATGGAATTCAAATAATTGGAATTGGAACCATATAACTGACATCATACTTTATTCATGCAATTGAATCAAACGAGTTGACTTTGAGTGAACAAGATCAGTTTAATTGGAATGCTTGACTGGTTCATATCGATATCAGTTTTGATTATTTTGGATAAAATTAAATGCCTACAAGTAATAGTGGTCAACTCATTTAAATTGATGATAGAAAAAATCATTTATAATATGAGAATTTCATAAATGTATATATATATATTTTACGGTTGAAATATGTATATTAACACCTAAACATTAAACATTTGACTAATAATAAATGCATATATTTTTCATTTAAATCAAAGAGTGGGTTCGACTTCCAAAATAAAAAAAAAAAAAGAAATGTGTACATGATTGGAGCATCAACTTAGAGTTTTTTAACACATGATTATATCCAATATAAAAAATATATATATTAAATAGCATATATATATGAGGCTGATTAAGGACAATGATATAACACCAACCACCACAAAAATTCTTCAAATATGGGGTAAGATTTTGATTTTATATTTTTCATTTTGGTATATTACAATTGAAATTTGAAAGTAATTTATATGCTTGCTGGTTCCAAACCAAACTAATTACTATATATCAGGTTGCTCCTTCACTCACTAACATTTCAACTTTGCCTCCTACAAATCACACATTGACAAAATGAAAGCAGCTGGCAACAAATACCCACTGGATCAAAGAAGGTACAAAGAAAAAAAAATAGAAAACAATCAAAGTTTAAAATTTTCTCTTAACTATAGCGAACTATTAAAAAAAATTAAAATGCCAAAAAAAAAAGTTTTCTGCACAAAACTCACTATATCAATGTGAAAAAGTGTAATTTCAACTCGAGAACAACCTGACTGTCTTACCAAAAAATAAAAACCTAACGTTGGTCTTCTTAGTTTTGCTTATTAATTTCAAAAAACTAATCTTGTCTCTCTTATTATCTTTGAATGTCACACTAATGATCGCAAATCACAATTAATATACATTACTCCTCTTTTTGTTTCTATACGGTTAATTTCCAACCATCCTTTGTTGAGTAGAGACCTCACATTGTAGAACTTGGGCAGATGGTGAAAGAAAGAGTAGAATCTCCACTTGAAAATTTTTTATATATTAATGAGGGAAATTTTTAAAAAGAAAAAATGAAAGTGAGTTGTATAAGGACAAGGTGAGATGCCATGATTTTAAGCAACCGTGACATGATACCAAATTCCATTACATCTTGGGATTCTAGAGACTCAACCTGAGGATATCTATTATATGATTCCATCAAATGTAATACACAATTCATACATACATAAAATACATAAAAGATTCTCAATAGATTCTGCTTAATTGCACCATTATTCAATTCTCCTATTATTTTCTCTATTTTCCCAATTAATTAAATGCGTACAACATTGAGAAGTGCCAACCAATATTTGAACCAAGATTAATCCTACATATCTCATTTCGTGTCGGTAGCATTTTAGAAAAATATTTTAAATTATCAAATTCATCATCTAGCAAAAATTCTAAGAATAAAAGGTGAAAACCCAAGCACACCCATAACTTTTTTCACTAAGCACTCGTAAAAAAGTAAGTTACTGTAGATATCTACGAATATCAAGAAAATAAAGAGAAAGAAGAAATTATAAGGCAAACAGAAAAAAGAAGATTGAAAAAGGCCAAACCTACTACAAAAAATTTTCTATACAACCAAGAAAGTTAGGAAAAAAGAGTGAAACATCTTTAGCATCAGAAAATGTAAAAACACTAGTATATATCTACATATATATTAATTAACAATTTTTTTTAATGTTTGTAGCCATCGTAATCCATTGTAAGCCAAAGAAGAGAGGTAAAGGGAATTATAAAATGAGAAAACATATGTTATTTTTGCATGCTTTCTACAATCCACACACATTAAAAAAATTCCTTAGAAGTTTCTAACCTTCATGGGGATGATCACAACAATACCTTTTGTCTCCTCCATCTTATTTTAGATCCTTCAATGGCACGGAATAGCATGTGCTCACTGACTGTCCTTCACGTGCAATGAGCTCAAGATTGTTCTTTCCCCAACAAACACAATAAAAAAATTCAACTAGTATCTACCTATTTTACATTACAACTAGAATTACTTCTCTTTGCCAATGCGAATTAGGTTCTATTCGGATAAGCAGTGAAATTAAAAATAATAATAAAATTTACTATAACTGTGATTGAAAAAAATAATTGTAATTGTGATTGAAAAAAAATTAATGAAAAATTTATACTGATTTGATTTCACTAAAGTTGACATTTATATTCAACTAAAGGTGCGGTGGAATCCAAACGGGGACTTAGTTTACATCTACGGTATGATATCTCATTCCACTAATATTTTTTTCTACACAAAAAGGGAAATTGAAACAGAAGCTTAAAAAAGTCTAAGCATTTGGTTCAACGGTAGATGCATGTATCATATTATTCCAAGAGTTGGTTCAAATCCCCAAATTCAAAGTATTTTTTTTTTTTTAAAGAGAAGCTTAATACATGAGAAGTTGGTATTATATATGGAAGTACTTGACATGCATATCATTAAGGAAAAAAGAAACTAATTCTTGTGGTTAGAGAATGTATATTCTCCATTCCTCATATGTTAGTGGCCATATTATTCATTAAGGAAAACAAAAAAGAGAAGTGGAAAACAAGAAAGTTAATATATGATAAGAAACAAATATAGAAGAAAGAAACACATCAACCAACAATTATAGGTAAAGGCATATATGGACTTCAATTGTGGAGCAAGCTAGACAGAAATATCTGAGTGACTAAATAGGACAAAGCAATGAAACAAGAATACTCATCTCTTCCTCTTTTTATTCAATTTGCTTCATAATAGAGAAAAATAAATGGGATATTTTAATTTCAGTAGTCTAGGTAATACTTTTTATCCAAAGTAGGAAACATTTTCATTTGAAATAGTGCTATAGTCTGCCGTAGTGGTACGTTGGGTGTACATGGAAGAAGTAGGAGTAGGAGGAAGAGCAGGTGGTGGAGTTGGTGGCTGTATTGGTGCTGGTTGTGGTGGTGCAGCAATTGAAACAACACCAGGAGAGAGCAAGGCTACATGGGAAGAGGATAAAAGGTTAGCTTCCCTATACTTGTATTTTATTATCTCAGCCCTTACTGCATTTAGTTCAGCTTGTAAAGATTGAACTTGCTGCTGCAAAGCTGAAATTGCACCCATGCACCCGTAGACAGGATCTCCTAGCCTCACATTAGCCTCATAAACAAGACTATTCGCCGTGTCAGCTCTTTGGCTTTCCGGTACTTCCTGAGTTACACCATGAAAGACATCATCAGAGCAAACCAAATAAAAGAAAAGAAAATTCATGAATGCACATCCCCGTGAAAGAGATTAGGCCCACACAAAGTCTGAAGGCACTTCGATTGTATTACTAATTAAAAAAGCTAAATAAAGTTGAAAATATATGTAGGAATTAGGGTTTTAATTACCATTAGCATCTTTGAGACATTGCTAGCACCAAAGACTTTGTGAACAGAAGCAAACTTTTGGGGCTCATGGGGGGAGAAATATGGAGAAAAGGGGCATTCTTGAGCACACCTACGCCTCAAGAGTTTGCAAGCAGCACAAGGTGTAATGGTATTTAGGGTTCCAGGAGGACCCAACATGTGTCTTCTCCCCATCTGATGATTAGATGAAACATCTGCTTCTCTCTTGATCTTTTTGCCTATCTCGTCAACTCTCTCCCTAAATATATTGCACCAAGAAAAAACAATGAGTAATTACTGTGGGTATAAATATATATTTATACCAATAAATTAGTTTTATTGATATAAATGAATTTTGTTATCTCTTAAATAAGATCGTCTTGGACAGAGAATTAGAGATGTCTCTAACCGTATTAACTATATATATTATGAAAAAAAAGAAGATTGAATAGTTAAGAAAGAAAATGAAGAAATTATATATGCTTCCAACAGAATACAAGGAAAATAGGTCTAAGCTCTAATAATGATCGCAGAAATTAAGATAAGATTTCTACTTCTTACCTTTCTCTGGACATTCAGGCATGCTCTCAAGTATGAAGAACAATTTTCTCAGGCTGAGAGAGAGAGATAGAAAGTAAGAGAAGAGAAGGAAAAAAATGAAAATGAGAGAAGGGAAAAGAGTGCTTAAAAGGCAAGATATAAAAGGGAAAGGTATGTTCCACTTTTTGTATAAAAATGAAATATAGACAAAAAGGATGTAATCATATTAAGTTTGAGAATAGAAACAAAGAAGCTAAATTTTGTCGGTTTCTCCTCCTTGTTGAAGTTGATGTAGGAGGATTCCCTGAATTACAATTTGCTGAAGAAAGGGAAGAGCAGTGCTTTGAGAGAGAGCTTCAATGGAAGCAAAGGAGAGGGAGAGAGAGAAATTGAAGAGGTGATATGTTGTTACTTGTAGTATAAATGTCAGCTCTATCACTGCTTGCTCACGTGCGACTCCTTAAATGTTTTGACTTTTGGAAAATCAAACTCTTCAAATTGGCTCTGCCACTTGTGCTCTTTGCTTCTTCCTCAGGACAGACCCAAATCTAGCAGCTTACCTTTACGATGAGCTACTATAATTAAAAACATTTTCGTTTTTTTTCTTTAATGTCACCGGATAAATTTTGAACATCACCTTCCAAAATATAAGTACCATTTTTGCATATATGCTTTCGAAGTGAAGACTATAATTTTTAATAATATATAACATCAATAGGGAACTTGAATTAATTTTGATATAGAGATTAGGTTTCTATTCTTAGAGATATAATTAGAATTGAGTTTTGATCACTTTGTCAAAAATCTTGTGATTTATTAATAAAGTGATAAATTTTTAATTTTAATAATTAAAATTTGAATCTTAATAATTTTAAATATAAAAAAATTTAATCACTTTTCATTTTATAATTTAAATTGAATAAATTATATATTTAAAAATATTAAAATTAATATTTAATTCTTTATTGATTATTAAAGACCTATTCATGAGATAAAAATATTAGTCAAACCGATTCTAATTAATTAAGGATCATGTATTTTGTTTGTTTTAATTACAATTTGAAAACTTGTTTGCATATTTCCGTTAACAATATTGCAACTAAAACAAGTTATGTCAAAGGTTAGGTTATGAAGTCAAATCTAATATATAAATCATGCAGACGGGGAAGTTGCTATTTAGTCAAGCATCGATTCTTTTTTTTTTTTTTTTGTTATTTTCTTTACGTGACACGTTTTACTGTTTTATTTTTTAAAAATTTTTAATACAATGATATTTAAGAATGTAATCGATTGAATTCGAGTCGATATAAAATTAAGTTTTAGTTCAAGCTCGACTTCAAATTTGAGACTTAAAATTCAGTTCGAATTTGATCGAGTTTTATTTTTTTAACTTGAGCTCTACTCGAGATAAAAATTAAATTACTTGAGCTCATTCAGTTAGGCTCAATCAATATGTAAAAATAAACTTGACTATTATATTCGATAAAAGTTTATTATTTATGCTTGAGCTCGAACTTGAGTTTGAAATATTTTATCAATTAAAAATATATTAAAATATAAAAACTCAATTAAACTCACGAACAACTCGAATCAGGTATAAGAATATTCAAACTCAATTCGATCGATATTTAAGCTATTTGAATTTGAATTGACTCAATAATAATTGAGTCGAATTCGACTTTTATTTGAATCAAACCCGAATAACTTATGAGTATTAATATATTATTTACATTTTTCGTGAAGTCTATTGTTAAAATTTTTTTGATGGGATCAATTTTTTTTTTGTTTTAAATTATTTTTTAAATTCATAAATTTTCTAAAAGAGGGGCACACTGTCTAAATTTTCAGTGGGACCTCTTTTTTTAAAATATTAATTCCTTTTTAAATTCATAATTTTTTTAAAGTAATGGGATCCACTAATTTAATTTTTTGGTGGCATTCATTTTATTTATTTTTAAATTATTTTTTTAATTCATAAATTTTTAAAAAGTGTTACCCACTTTTAATTGTTTTTGGACATGTTTTTTTACACTTTTTTTGGATACCACACGTATTTTATTTTTTATTTAATAAATATTTTTATTTTTAGTTGAAATCCACTTTATATCAAATTTTTTTTCTCTTTAAAAAAGCTTAATTAATCCATTATATATATATATATTTTGTTTGATTTACTTGAGATCAATGTACGCCACATGTTTTTTTCTCAGTATTTAACTTTAGTTTTTTTTTATTATTATTTTATATATTTAATAAATAAATTTTTAAATTATATTTTTTGTGAATGAGACATTTGATCTCAAAGATATGTTACATATTAAATCATTCTTTCTCAATATTTAACTTTAGTTTTTATATATATTTAATAAATAAATTTTTAAATTTTATTTTTTGTGAACGAGACATTTGATATCATAGGCATGGCTCATATTAAGTCATTCGATTTTTTTTCGCTTTTACTTTTTAATCTTTTTTATTTATAATTTTTTATTAATAAATATTTTTATTTTTTTACTTTTTATTTGATAATTTCTTAAAAATAAATATTAATAGAGATGCCAATGTTATATCCAGATTAAATTTTTTTAACTTATCTTTTTTTAGTCTTTTAAATATCCATAATGTTAATTTTTTTAAAAAAAATTATCATTATTAACATTACATGCCAATTCAATTTTCTTTCTTTTTTATTTTTTTCTTATCATTATTTCTTTTTTCCTTATTTTTTAGTTTTTTCTTTTTTATATTTAATAAATATTTTTAAAATTTTTTATTTTTATAAGTTGGGCCAATTTTATTTTATTGATTAAAAATAACTTTTTGTACCCTTTTTTAATTAGATAATTTTATTAAAAAAAGGTATTAACATTTAAATTTGATTTTTTTGGGCATTTTTTAGTTTTGTGGTATAAGTAAACGGATATTATAAAAGGATTTTTTTAATCGATACGAATTGGCTCTAAAAAATTTAAAATATAAACAAAAAAATTCTATTAAATATAAAAGAAAAAATTAAAATACAAAATAAAAATATATGATATAAATTTTGTAAGGAATACTCGTTATCATTGATGTCGAATGGCAATTTGACTTTCTCCCTTTTCTTTAGTTAGATTTTTCTAAAAAAAACACCAACATATCTGTAAACGTGACACCTTTTTTGCTTTTTTGACTTCTTTGTTTTTTATATTTTTTAATAAGGTAAATGAACAACAAATGTAATTGGTAATTAATATTTTAAAAAAAATATTAATAGAGGTATAGATAATAAAAATAATCTGTATTTAATGAGTTTCAATTTGTCTAAATACGACTGATGCATTTTTTTTATTTGGGATCAAATCAAGATTTTTCACAAAAAATAGGTTGAGTTAAAAGTAGGTTTGGAGTGTTTTATCTTGCCTTAACTATATATACTAAATTATATTTTTAATAATTTTATTTAATTTTATATTTATATATATTATATTAATAAAGTTACTATAATTTAATATTTTAATTTAATAAAAATATTTTATTTATATATAATTAAGATATAATCCATCTATCTAACATTTGTTTAACTTTCAATTGAGGTCTCCGCTAGTCATTTGATGCTTTTTATTTTTTTATTTAAATAAATTTTGTGAAAAAATGATATAGGCACTCATGTAACACTTTAATTTTTTTTTTAATTAGATAAATTTTACGATAAAAGGAGCCAATGAATAAGAACGACAAAATAATTTGTATCCGATATGTCCCTACTTAATTGGAATGTCTATGTAGTACCTCAAAAAACTTTTTTTTCTTTTTTTCTTTTCTCCTTTTTTGTCTTTTTAATAAGAGTAGTTTTGCAAAAAAAAAACAAATTATGAATGTGTCCTCGTGACACCACATTTAGTTTTTTACCTTTCATTTCTTTATATTTTTAATTAAATGATATACGTACTGATAAAGGTATCAGCACAATTTGTATATGGTAAATTTTGGTCCATCTCATTTTGATAAGAGACAATTTTTTTAAATCGAAATTGAGTTAAAGTGGGTTAATTTTTTTTTTTTTTAAAGATTGGATCGGAAACATGTTTATGGTATCTTTTCTTAACCTATTTTGAGATGTATATAAAGATATATATTTTATTATTTATAATTTTAGATATATATTATATTAATAAAGTAATTTTTTATCTTAATTTAAGAAATTTAAATTTTAAACTCAATATAAAATTTCAGTGTAGCAACCTCTATTAGCTCTTTTTCTTATTTTTCTTTTTTGAATCATTTTGAGTTTTTTTCCACTTTTTTCATATACCTTTTTTTCCACTTTTTTCATTTTTTGTTTTTGATATTTATTTATTTTAGATTAATTTTAAGAGAAAAATGAGCTAATTAAGATATCCATGTTTCATTTCGTTTATTTTTTCTTTCCTTTCATTTTTTTAATTTGATAAATTTTATATAAAAATATGGTGGATAGCTATATCTAAATAAGACAATTTAAAATATAACATGAAAACAATACGAAAAAGATATGAAAGTGACATAGATAAAACTTTTAGTAAAAAACATATATGAATTTAATAAAAAAAAATATTCGTATTTTTTATTTCGACAAAAATTATGATTCATAATTTTAGTGTAAAATATAATATGAATATATAAATTTTTATTATTTTACATAATATAAATACACAAATTATTAGATCTACCCGGCACTCCAACGCCTTTCTAGCATATATAAATATTGATGATCATAGAAATGTGGTTTCAAGAACTGGCATGTTAGTTTCTTGTCAAATATCAAGAACCCATCTCTCCACTAAAAGGACCATGTCTTGGGGATCTAGTTCCAAAAATGAAATTTAATTATTATCAGAATTGCCGTGTACTACCCGCAATTTGTTGTTTCAAGATGGCCAAGAGACCTTATGTGTGGACCTGGTTCCAGTGAGAGCAGCCTCCTTTTGAAGATGTTGAATTAAAATAAGCTAAGGTAGCTAATGCATCAAACATGGACATGAAGCTTCTTTTTTTTTTTTTTTTCTTTTTACATTCCCCTAAATAATTTAATTGATCATGACAGCTTTTGTTGACTAGAGGTTCAATTTTTAAGATAACACCAACAACTTGTAGATTGTTCTACAACTTCATTATATATAGTAGTGTCGTCACACTATGATCACTCGATTTTAAGCTAAGGTAAAGGAAGATTGATGGAAATCAAAATCT